GGGGTTTAAGTGGAGAGAAAATGTTTTGAGAATGATGTACAAATGTCCTTTACACAATTGATGTGTGTATGGATTGTGATAAGAGTTGTAAGAGCCCCTAATAAAATGTTTCAAAAACAAAAGAAAAAGGTTCAATCAAAACAGTGGCTTCCCAGGGGATCTGCAGGGCCGTTAAACCTGAAGCAGAGAGGTCAGTTTATAAGATTACAGTGAATGATTTTTAGAATCCCATAGGGATAATCTTGATAGATTTTCTTGAAGAACACAGGACAATCGTGGAGGTTTATTAAGAAGGATTCAGAAAACCCAAAATTGCATCAGTGTTGCTACAAAATAGTGAACTTTGTAAAAAAACGATTTTTTTTTAAAGGCCAGAAAGTTGTGCTAAGAATACACTTGCTCATTCCTCAAGGGTAGCAAGGGCCATCCCAGAGTATTTTGTTGGGAATCCTTACCCCATCCATCCATCCATCCATCCCTTTCCCTTCAGATGTTTTGTCCCCAAATTCACAGACTTTGTAAAAGTTACACTATTGGAGTCCTCTGAAGATGCCCAAACTGTCATTTGATGTGTCAAGACCTGAAATGCAAACTTCTTTGGGAAAGTGTTTGAGGGTGGAAACTGCCTTCAGAGGTGCATAAGCCTACATCAAAAGCAATCATTCCACATCTTGGTATTTTTGTTTTTAGAAGGCTACCTGATTTTGTATTGATACTTTCTGACTTACCCTTATTTAATGAAACGATCACACTAATGTCACCTGAACCCACTGATCAATTGTGAATTTACTGACAGTGGGAGAAGAGATATTATAGTTCTCTTTGACATAGGGCACAGTAAAATACAATGACGTTAACTATGATGGATGCTTGTCAAAAGAAGTTGAATTAAGTACATCTTCAGAGCCAACTATTATTTTATAGAAATTCGGGGTATAAATTAAATAGCACCCACAAGGATTTGTCTGGTTAGACCAATCCAGATTATAAAATATTTTACATGGCAACTAATTTGTTTTAAAAAAAAAGATCAATGGTATAAAAAGGGAAGGGGTAATGGTCTTAGATTACGAGATTTAATGAATCCTAAGAGCCAGTTATAATGCCTGGAACTTGCTTGGCTCTTGACTTGAACAAACCAACTGTTAATACACTCTTGAGACAATTGGAGAATTTAAATATGGATTATATAGAGGGGGCTTAAGTTTCTAGAAAAAAATAAATGAAAAGATAATGATTTCATAAACTTCTTGAGGTCTCATGTTACATAATAATATGGAATTATTGATAATTTTAAAGGGGGTAAAATTACATTGTACTTATATAAGAAAAAAGTATATAGTTTTCAGTGGTAGATTCTGAATTATGTAGAGATAAAATGGCAGAATTCTAGGGGTTTGAGATTGATGATGCAGGTTTGGCAAAATCTTGTAAATATCGAACCTGAGTGATAGGTATATGGAGGTTCATTATATTATTATTTTTACTTTTTAAAATTTGAAGTATTTCACTATAAAAATGCTTAATGTTATAGGTGATTATAAAGGAAACATATGTATGTGTAAAACATCCCATTGAACTTTTGAAAGATGTAGTATAATTTTAATAAAATAATTTATGAATATAAATATCTTAATTTATAAGAAATTTTTAAAAAGTCAAAAAGGCAGTAGAGCTTAGTTTATTTTTGTTAAACTAAAACTTACTTGAGTTTCAGTTTGTAATTGTCCAATTAATGAGAGGGTCTTAACCGCAATAAAACAGACCTGTGATTTGAAAGAAACAAACCAAAAAATTACTCCAAATTCCATGTGACATAAAATTATTTATTCTTTTAACTTACTGACTGAAAAACATGAGCAGCTTTCAAGGGTTGATGTAAAATGTGATTTCCAAGTTCAGCATCTAATTGAACAACATCAGAGGGATTTATTAAAATATTGAATCGGTAGACAGCATAACTTTGTTTTGAATCTGTAGAAACACAAATGTAAAAGTTAGTATAATCATATGTAGGAATTTATTTTAAATTTCTAAAGTAAAGTTGCTTTTGCTGACCATACCATTGTAATGTTTGCAATCTTCAATGAATTTTTGGAGGCCTCCACTTCTGTCTAGATAGATAAGTGCTGCTTCTTTCAGTTTTAAACTTGACATTATCTCCTGGTTGGTTATTCCTTTATATTACTAGTTGATTCAATCACCGTTGATGGTAAACAAGTACAGAAGGTACAACTCATAGAAAGGATGAGAAATCCTAGAAATTAAAAAAAATACTGTTAGGAAAACCTAGGCTGCCATCAAGTTGATTCTGATTCATAATGACTCTATCTAGTGTGTCTGTGACTGTAAATCTTTGCGGGAGTAGACAGCCTCATCTTTCTCCTGTGAGTGGTTATTGTTTTTGAACCACCAACCTTGCAATTAGGAGCCCAACACTTAATCCACAGTGTCACCAAGGCTCGCTCTTTACAGATTAGCTACTCCAAAAAATTCTTGCTGAAATAAATAATATCAGATGTTGAGGTCTGTTTTTAGGCAGTTTTTAAAGTGGTAAAAGTTATTTCATAAATTCAGTCTAAGTAATAGAGTAGTAGCAAGAATATTAACCTTAGAAATCTGAGAACTTGGTTCTAGACTCAACAATAGCTTGGTTGCCTTGAGAAAAATCTGATCTCCCTTGGCTCAATATTGTTATCTGTAGGAAACAAAGGGGTTTTTCGGTGGTTAAAAATTCCATCCAGCTTTAATTCTTGGGTCAGTGACAGACATAAAATATTAAGCCATAGTAATTACTAGCGGGTATAAAATTCATTTAAAGACAGCAAAGACTAATTGCCGGTAATTGTAGTAGGTACCAGACATAAAATTATTACACAGCACAGCAACAACAATTTTTTCCTCTTTGTGTCCTGGTTTTTTGGCCTGTTCCTGAGGTTATCTGGGGTGCTGAATCGGAAAATTGCAATGAATAGACCGCATCAGCTCTTGTGTCTTAGAGATGTGTTCCACTATATTTTCAGCTGTTTTAACTGGTTTATTTATTTAGAATTCAGATCCACAATTTCAGTATAAACCCCCAAAGGTAAGAAATTTGTGAAAAAGAATTACGTGTTAAGGGATTTCCAAGGGATGCTGTACGTGAACCCCTGGTGGCTATTTGGCTCTGTATCGAGCTACCAGTCATGCCAATCACTGCAGGCTTTACAGTTTAGAAACCCAAAGGAGCAGTTCGTCTCTGTCCTAGACGGTCACTATGAGTTAGAATCAGTTAGATGGCAGCAGGAGTTTTCTTTTTGGATTGAGAGGCTATGTAATATATTGAGAGAAGACTACAAGCTGGATACTGCAAAGCTGGAGCACAGCTTGAGAAGTGTGAAAAAAAAATGTTTTAATTGAAAAGGCACGTATGTGGGAGGGCAATTTAGAGTATTGAAATTGTAAAACCTTGTAGCAATTTTTATAAATATTTTGAAGTTCGAAATTATTCTTCAAAATACGCAATGAACATTTCAGAACACATTTTAATGTATAGAAGTCAATGGATAATTCATGTTAAATGTTTCAGTGGTGAGATTGACCCCAATTCCCCCCCCCAAATTTCTTTATAAGAAAAATTCTAACTCAAAAAAAAATTTCTGTGAACAGATAGAAAAATTGTACCAACTTATAACAAGACTGGAACCTTTTAAATTTAATAAAGGAGTTTGAATTCTGACCCATTTTGGGTTTCAGAACATTTTAATCTCTATTATTATCAAACTCACTACCAGTTAGTCGATTATGATTCATAGCCACCTCATAGGATAGAGTGGAACTTTTCCTGTGAGTTCCTAATGCTATAAATTTTTATGGGACCAAAAAAATTCTCTTGTAGAGCAGCTGTTGGGCTTCAATAGCTGACCTAGTGGTTAGCAGTCAAGTACATAGCCCACTATGCCATCAGGACTCCTTATTTATAGACAGTCACTCTCATTTCTGGTCCCCTTTTTAAGAAAACAAATTGGAACTGCCTACGATACAGTTCTTAATAAAGGTGAAGTGATATTGGGAAATTCCAAGTTCATGGTAGTTTTTACTGCTCAAATATATCTTTGAAGCAAAGGACACCAGGCAAAGTATAACTTGACCTAAATATTTAGTACAACACAAAATAAATCAAGCCAGCGTGTACTTTTTATTTCTTGACTAGCTATCACTACATTAAAACACCCTGATTTTTTATGGGCAAGCAGAGTAAAGAATGGTATGTGCTATATGCTCTGCATCTCAAAAAGTAGAGCTGATAGAGGAAACTGGTGCTATTTTTTTGGAATCAGTAAGTGAAATATACCCAAATACATGTGTAACATTTGAGGCACCAAAATGTGTCTTGGTCATTGTGATGATTGGACCTACCTTTCTAGGGGTTGCCAATTAAGAGAGGAAATGATGACTAATACATTTATTTATTATCAAATACTTGCTGGCCATATGCTATTTATGGGATACCAGCGGGTCCTAGACAAAGTCCAGGATACAATGACAGGTAAAATATGGTCCTTATCTTCAGGAACTCTGTTGGCATGATGGGGCAGATGTTGGGCTGCTCAACCTCAAAGCCAAGTAGTTCAAACCCACACGCTTTTCTGAGGGGAAAAGATGAGGCTGTCTGCTCTTGTAAATTTTACAATCCCAGAGACCCGAGGGAATAGTTCTACCCTGCCCTCTACAGTGTTGCTATGAATCAGAATTGACTTAATGGTAGTGGGTTTTAGTGTATTTAGAAAGAGCTCAGTGAGAAACATCAATCATATCAACAAGACAGCACAAAATAAGTGCTATAATAGAAATATGAATATATTAGGGACCATAGAAAGAATAATACATATGAAATACTTCACAGAGTTTGGGTTCAGCTTTATGTGGAGGTCATGTTAGTATTTTCTATTACAACATTTTACGACATTTTGATAGAATACAGTGGGGTGTCACAGAGAAGTTCCAAATGCTATTTTAGGGTGCCGTTTGACAGGTGAGTGAGATTGAACAAACTGAAGGGGAAGGGAACGAGGAGAAAGCTTTCCAGAGACAGGTCACTTTCCACTAGTACTTTAAGCCATTTTCCAAATAAAAGTAATTGAGACTGCCCCTTTCAGTAGTAGTAGGGATAAAACCTCAGACTTCATTTCTTTGTGGACATCAACTACATAATCTTAAGTGTATGCTGTGTATCTGACATTTCATCTCTGCTACATCAGAACTCAGGTTCCAGAAGCTGGATGATGATCAATGTCTGGGTGAGGCCCTGATTAGAATTTCTTGAAAGTCACAAAAGGGAAGCCATCAAGCTTAGTGAAAACCTAGATTAACATGGTTAGGTTTTTATTTTGTAAATCAGTGCCTGCTACCAGTGAGAAAAATGGATCAAAATTTGATAATCCATTTCTAATTTTTGCAAAAAATCTCAAGAGATTGAAGAAACCCTGGATTAAGAGATGAGGGATGAAATGGACGATTAGATTTACAGATTTCACACTGCCATGGAACCAATTTATACACTATGAGGAAGTGGGCACTAACTGGATTTGTAATGTGGGCACGAGCTGATGGAAGGAGCCTCGGTGCCCTAGCGGGCTAATCACCTAGTTACAGGTTCACACGCACCAGCAATATTGACAGGAGTCCGGTCCTAGAGGACCACTAAGTCGAGTCCACTCGATGGCAGCGGGCGTGGTTTTGGTTTCATGGGTCAAGAGATGGTCCTCTAAAGGAAATAGGAAACCCAGGAAAAGCTCACAACCAAACCAAATTCTCTGCTATGGAATCGATTCTGACTCAGTCCTGGTGGCTTAGTGGCTTACACTTAGGTTATTAACCACAAGGCCAGAAGTTCGAAATCGCCAAATAAGGCTTTCTATTACAAAGCGTTAGTCTCAAGCCCCACTCTGTACTATGTGGAAAATGAGAGTCCGGGGAAAGAAGACGGCAGTGACAAGGAAACGACACTCTCTGGAGACTTTTGATTTTGGCGGGCTGTGGCAAACCCAGATGGATCCATCCCGCCGAGTAACAGCTACCACAGCCTAGAGTGGCTCATAAACATAGAAAAAGCCGGGATAAGCAAGCTGTGGGTGGCCCCTGCAGGTGAAGACACGCAAGGCGGCGAGAACGCCCTCAGTGAGGTCACGGGTCAGGTCACGGGATAAGCTCCACGTGTTCCCACAGCCGGCACCACCAGCGCGGCTCCACTGGGAGCACGCGTCGAGCGCGCGCTCCTTGCCCGGGAGCACCAGAAGTGCGTGAGGGAGGGGACAACAGCGGAACTGAAAACACCTCACGGCGAAACGCGGATCCCAGCGGCAGTCCCCGGCCGGCAGACACCCCCGCCCCCGGCCCAGCAGGTGAGAGAACGGGGGGGGGGGGGCACTTCGCACCCACCCGCGAGCGCGCGCCACCTCAGGCCGGAGATCGCGCGCGTTGCGCACGCGCCCGCCCGCGCATGCGCACCCCCGTCGGAAGGCGCGGGCGCAGGGACTGTCGGGAAGCCGTTTGGTGGGAGCCCGCTTTCAGGGAACTGGTTCAACCGGTTTCAGTTGATTCACTCTTGCGAAGAAAGTGGAGGATGACCTTTAGTTTTCTTTGTCATCACGGGCCAGGGTGTTGATGTTTTTATTAAACAAGAGCAAGAACACAAACTTGGTGGAATGTCAAAGGTGCAGCTTTGGAAAACTGTGGTAGTTTCCCAAAGGTTAAACCCGGAGTTGGAATACGTCTCAGCGATTCCACTTCGACACCTCTCTGAGAGAAATGAGATTTGTGCACACAAAAAAGTTGTACACGACGGAGCACCCCGTGTCCCTTGAGGAAATCTGTCAGGATTGTCCCTGGGAGTCCCCCTGATACAGGGATCCTAACCTGAGCTTCCCTTTCTGGTCTGAATTGAACTGAGCCAGCAGATCTTCGGGAACCACTGTTTTGACTGAAATTTACTTTCAGAATCCATAAACTATCTTCATTTGTCTTATTCTTGCTTGAAAGGCCGATGGAAAGATTAGCTCTTTTTGAGCTCACTGATCTTTCCACAAAACTTTTATTTCTTTTAGTACGTTTGAGGAGGCTAAGCCGAGCAAATTGCCAGGAGATTTTGTCTGCTGCTATTCACTAGTCCAAACGAC